AACGTTCTGGAGACCAACCGTACAGCCTGGTGACCGTACTAACGCTGTACACGATGCTGGAAGGGTCGATCTTAAATGTTCTCACACTGAAAAAGAATAGGATCACAACTATGCGAGGTGACGGAAGTGTTGATCACCTTGATTGTGTCAATCGTTTCACAACAACTTTGTCATGTATACCTCGTGGAAGCTGGGGACACTGTCACGGCACCACGTGGTGTGGTTTCCAAGAAGGCCACATGTCGTCCGCTAATCTTTTGGTTGCTATTTCTCTCCAGGTGTTTATAAATTTTACTCCATAGATGAAAAATTCTGCTCCTTTCATGTCAGTGATATAAAATCAATCCAAAGGCATCAAAAATGTCCCCGAGAACCCTCACGCCCTCACCTTCTGCTGAGAGCCACTCAGGGTCCCCACGTGGCAGGGCCCTGACTGGGTGGTCCCTCCGGCCTGGGTGTCCACCAGCCTCCAGTGGCCCCAGAGGATGCCTGGAGCCTGCCCTCTCTCCCCAGCTCTCCTGCACCTGCTTTCTCGCCGACCCACACCTTGGCCAGGCAGACCAAGGCGATCCATTCCCAGAGGCAGTTCCTGTGTCTGAAATCTGTCTCTTTCCCACGAACCCATCCCTTGGGGAAGGAGGTTTCCAATGACTAAAAGCAAATGAGGTCAAGTCCCCTGTGATGCCAAGATAACGCCGGACCAAATACCACCTTTCTGGCAGCTAGTCAAGTCTTGACCTCCTGGTGTGGGGAAAGCTTGGCCTTCACCCCTGCAGGGGACTTGGGCCAGGGTTCCGCTGGGCTGAGCCTGGGGCTGGCTCCTCCCTGGAAAAGCCGGGGTGTGTCTCTCCACAGGGAGGGTCAGCTCTCTCCAGAAAGAAATCGTGTTTGAAAAGTGCTGCGCTTGAGCTCTGGGAATCCCCCTCTAACTTAAGCCCTGGAGAGCTTGTCTGGTGGCCAGAGCCCTGGCACGGAGACACAGGGCCTGGCCAGCCTCCTGGGAGTGCCCACAGCCCTGCTCTCCCCATCACGGCTGCTGGAAAAAGAGAGAGGCTCCCTGGGGAGACCAGGGCAGAATGCCGCTGCGGCAGGCCCTGCCGGGGTGTGGCGAGGGTGAGCTGGCTTGGGGGAGGGCACGGGGTCTGCTGCTCGCTCAGGCTGGACTGAGGCTCCCGCTTCCCTTCCCACCTGAAACGAGGAGCTGTGCCTGCTGAGGTTTTATGGTGGCTGCCGAGAGGAGCCTCCAGGAGGCTGGAATGAGAGGCACAGGTGGCCTCGGCGGCTTCTCTACCTGGAAAGGGGAGCCTCGAGGCAGGAAGGGGACCTGGCACCGGCTGAGCTCTCTGAGTCTCTGTGCCCCAGTTTTCCAGCTCTTTGGGGAACCCTTGTCTTTCTGTCTCGTAATCACAGAGAAAGGGGGGGCGCACTGCAGGGAGGAGCCTGGGCCTGGGCCCGCCAGGGGTGACTGGGAAGGCAGGGCTGGCCTCCTGACGAGGGGCGCTCCGGGGGAACAGGGAGGTCAAGGAGAGGCCCAGACAGGACGCCTCAGTGTCTCTAGTCACCACCAGGAAAAAAACAAAAAACAAAGAGACAAGAGCTTGATTTTCACATGGTGGGAACCCAAACAACCAGGTGAAAAATAAATAAATAAAGATAAAACCAGAGAACACAGCTAGTTTGGATTTGTGCTGCTGAACACCTCGCTCGTCTGGTGACTCTCGTTCCCCCACTTCACAGGGAACGCAAGTCCATAAAGCGGGGACCTCTGCCATAACAGCGTTTTGGGGCCTGGGTGGTGGGAAGGAAATCGTGGCCCACGGCTTCTGGGATGCTGAGTTCAAAACCTCCCTTTTCTGGTGTCGTTCCCAGGCACAGCTTCATAGAGTGCCTGTTCTGAAGGAAGCTTCTGAGTTCTCGGGACAGCAACTCAGGTCCTCACTGTGGGCAGGCGGGGGTCCCAAGGAAAAAGAGCCCCGGAGCACAGCAGGGGCCGGGCCATCTTTGGGACGGTCATTCTCAGTGGTCTCCGAACTGTGCTGCTCTGGCTCCCCCAGCGTCCCCATGGCTCATTGGACCTGCTCAGATGCGTCTGTGGAAGAGCACATTCCTCCAGGGTGAAGGAGAGAGAGGGCCACTCCCCCCGGAGGGGCTGTCACCGTTCACAGGCCTGGAACCTGCCATCTTAGAGTCAGAAAGAGAAGGGAAAGTGATGGACACTCTGAATCTAGTTCTCGCTTCCTTCCTGGGATCCCTGGTGAGCTCAGTCCTCCTGCTTGCTTGGCCCAGGGGCATGTCAGAGAGGACCACCAACAGGCAGATGGTCACTGGTCCTGGCTGTCAAAGAACATTCCTTACCTGGGTGGCTGTCGTGCAGTGGAACCAGGTCTGTGCCTCCCTGGGCAGGGCGGGTGGCTCGTCCCCGCAGGGCCACTAATGCAGCCTGTTACTGGCTTGTGCCCTCTGCAGGCAATTCTGCAGCCGACTTAGGAAACCAATGCAAGCTTCAGCTCCAGGCAGAGGGAGTAGCCTCCTCTGGCCTGAAGAG